GTTATTTAGTGCATAGGTCAACACAGATTTGGACGGAATAAGGATACTGGAGCAAAAACTAGTTGCTTTTCAAACTTCTCCAGATATTAGAGGGGTAATAGTTTGTACGCGTTCCCCAAGCATCGACACAACTAAATCACGATATTTTCTGCATTCAGTAATAATTTCTACTAACCAGTCACTTTGTTACATACTATCACTGCTGTTCTATTACTTTCTACCTAACATTAATACTCTTCTCGGCATTAGTAAAAGACTATCCCCGTTGGCAGGCATGCAAAAATCGGTAGGTGGCCAAAGTGATAATGCATATGCGATCTCCTGGCATGCTGAACTGGGAAGATCCTTCTATTCAGCAGGAGTTCTCCAATGGCAATGACGTTTGCCTCAGCAATCCACTCTATTCGTAATGTAGGAAGTGGCACCAAAGTGATCAGTATGTATAGTACCGCGTTGAACGACTCTGTACTGTCACTTTGTCACATTGAACTTTAGCCATAACTATAAAAGAGCTCACCTCAGATGGCGCAGAAGATCCTCTTAAAATCTCTGTCACATCTATGGAAGCCATCCTTGGTAACGCGACCTACTGCTCTTGAAAGAGCTAGTCAGCGAACCTAAACGAGCAAATATATGGAGAAAAATTGAGGAAATATTTCAGAATGAGACCTAAAGGTGACGAATACTTCATCGCAGCAACTAATTTGGAACAAGATACGTCTAGATACTTAAAAGATAATTTGTAAAGAAAAAAGATAATCTGTAAGGAACACCAGATACTCATTGTCCATGAGGTAGGTTTGCATTCGTTTCAAAAAACATGAACATGAAAAACGTTCCAAAGCAACATTTTGGTGCAGCAGGTTCTCAAAGACAACTACAGTCTAGAAAAGATCTGCTCTAGAATCTCCCGAATTAACACTATTTAGCTTAATTAATTGCGCGCGGTGTGAAATTCGAATCCAACTGAAACTTGACGCTGGAGCACTTTTTCGCATCGGAGCACTCTTCACAAACCAAATCTTCAAATGAAAAGATATCAAGGTATTCCAAAGTCGTAGTGTATGCCTAGCCTAGTAGGGCCTAAAGTCGCATTAATACGCGACCGCCTGGGAGAAAAGACAAATCTGCACGAAAAGAAAGTACACTCCTTATCCCTGAGCCAGAGTAGGCGTGGCATTTGAACATGGCACGGAACTGGTTACTCGTGGAATATTCCAGTCTGGGACAACTGTCATCTTGTTCTGTGTTGGACAGAGACACGACAACAATTGATTTGCGGCCACTCCTTCCCGATCTCAGGGGTTTCGAGTATATATGTATGAAGAAATGAGGAACCGTGAACTTGGGAAAACGCAGATTCTGCAGATTGCCATTTCTCCCAAAACAACAAAGAGGAGCGAGCTGAACGAGCAGCTCCTATCTAGCCTTTGTCGCTTTTGTGTGTATTTCTACTTCCTGCCGATTCTCCCTATTCCTCGTTACTTTACTTTTCGCTGCTCGTCCTTTCTTCAAACAGATGCGTATATATACTCTCTTTTTTCGATTCTTAATTTCTCTGAAGTTGCTGTATGAACGCATTCTGGGCAGACCAGATAACATGTTTTCAAACAAATTCATTCATCAGAATCTGAGTCCGACTTCCGGTCGTTCTTACAACATGCGTAGCAAATGCTTGAGACCAACCGATGACACCGTGAAACTCGTGATTGGACTCCATGTTGGCACGATTTATGCTCAGCTCACCCTGCATTGGAGATCGCCCCTGATGTTTATGGGAGTATGAGGTAATTCTGTGAGTGCAGTACAAGGGAAAACCTTTGCGACTCCATTCATAGAATTGTTCCGCTAATAACAAAGGCAGGTTCTCACCATCTCAGAACGCCAGCGCCTATATACATGACGTTATGCCTTTTTAACATCCGAGTGGAATTGTTGGGGAACACCTCTTCATCTTCGGCGTTGGACGGTTTTCACGATTGCACATAATCTAAACGCGTTGATCACACACCCTGAGCGAGAACTTTCACGATATGGTATGATCCAGGGT